CTATATGCATATTTTTATCAAAATATTGCAAAAGAAAGATACATTTCTTTTATTTTATAAGTATTTTTCAAGAAAACAATTTGAGCACAAATGTGAACAATTCACTTGTCAGCCATGTGATTACTTTAGAATGCTGCCAGATTCAAAAAATTTAAAATTATCAAAAATGAAACGGCAATATGTAGACTTTGGCTATTTTTGAACATATTTTTAAAATAAAAATATGCAATTCATAAAAAAAAAAATTTCACTTAAAAGTTGACACTTCCGTGGAATTGCCCTATACGCTTTATTTAAGTTGTCCCAAAAGGTGCTAAATACTAATTTCTGGAACTATTTTTTTAGTAATACTAGTCTTTATAAAATTCTATTTAATTAAGATGATTCCGTCGTAGTTTTGCAATTCTTACGTTCGTGACATAATGTTTTACTGTCTAAAAATATTTTCATAAACTTTTTTTTTAAGAAGAAAAGCTCACACAAGATTTTAGATTCAAAATCAAACAGTGCAGGACGATCTGGCATATTTTTGGGATAAATTTGGAAGTGCAAACTGAAAAATAAAAATGTCTCAGGTATGTTAAGAGCTCATTTATTTTCATTGTTCTGATTTCAAAAAAATTAAGTAATAGGAAATCCTGCTAATCGTAAGCTAATTGGAAAATCCGGCTCTTTCTTAATTATCGACGTCATTTTTTCACTGCGCCTGCATGGGTCACTGCAATAAGCCTATGAAAAGTCGTCGGTAGTTTGCAAGGACGGCATATACAGTGACAAAAAGATGCATAGTGGTCGAATAATTTTTATTTATTTTCAATCTAATTATAGAAAAATGTATAAAAAAAATCGACGCTTATGTTTATTTTAGAAATGTTTCTAATTGAAGAAGAAAGGAAGTAAATAAAATGTGATCATTTAATAACGCTTTTCTGTATCTAAAAAAAAAATCTTCATGGGTTCTATGCATAAAAAATAAATAAATAAATAAAAAAAAAAAGAAAAAGCAGATTAAAAGACAGAATCCGGTGTAAACAATGACGTCATTTCAAAAATAAGTTTTTTTTTTTTTTATTACAAAAATTCACATTTTTGGTTCAAAAAAAAGTCAAAATATGTAAAATACCAACCGCGACTGGTATTTGTAGATCCCTGGTTATAAATATATCGTTATTCAACTAAACCTTTTTGCTAAATGTAAAACAACCTGTAATTTTGGGATCTCAAAATTAGTGATATCTTCAGAATTTAACACATTACAAGGATAAGTTCGTGCATATTCTTTTAAATTACTTTGAATCTAATAAGCCATTTGATTGAGATAAAATAGTTTCAACTTTTATATTTGGGTATTTAATATTTCGACACAAGCCTTGTGGAAGAGCCACCAAGATTTTACTTTGTCTTATTTGTCATTTTATTGACACTGTTATTGTGCCCAATTATTTTGTCTCGCAGAACTAAAATCAATGTGGAAATAATGTATTGTATACTCCTATTCCCAGAATTCGCTCAAAACGCATGTATAGGGATACTAAACACAATGTCTTTAAATAAATAATCCCAAGAAACTGAAGCGGTAAGATATAATGCGGCTTTGAGGAGAACTCCAGACTAAAAGTCTGGGGTTGTCTGCTGCAATGGTAACAAGCGAGAGCACATTTCTAATGGGGGTGAAATGGAGGAAAGAAGGTGTCAATTGGTTTACTCACGACGACCTTCGCTAAGATGAAGACCAAACTATTCACCCCACACCCCTGTTAGAAGTGAACTTTCCTCATAACCATAGTACCCGCCACCACGCGAGACGGGTGTCTGGAGGAGTTCTCCTGAAAGTCGCACCATATTATCTGGTAGAAAACTTCATACGATTCAAAAATATACACAAGAAAATTAAATAACAGTCAACATGATTCAAGCACATCAAAAATAGGACTGTCACGTCTGTCAAGTCTTAAAAATGGGCGCCTATTTTTGATGCTCTTAAAACATGTCGACTGTTACTTCATTTTTGTATATTTTTGAAGAGTACGAAGTTTTCAATTAGGTGATACATGTTTTTGTTTATTCTTTATAAAACACGAATTTTTTAAAAAAAAAACTTTTTTTAAAAATTTTATTCTTCATACTTTTAAAAATCTAGGGCGTATCATCGGACACTGAATGGACATCAAAAGTTATTGTCATGGAAGAATCACTGAAAAGTGGATCATTTGGAATTATGCACAAGGTGATACATGCTCGTACTAAAAAAGTTGCTGTTCTAAAAGAATCCCCAAAGCCTAAGGTAAATAGATTAATTAATATCTGAAATAATAGATAAGTCTATACAGTATTTGTTATGTGGGATACGTGCAAAAATTAAAAATATTAATTTAATGTAAAAATCTCCGAAAACAAATGCAAATAGATAATTAATTACTTAAAAATATCAAACCTCTACATATAAAACTACTTCAAATATTTGTGAACAGCGTGATCCATTTAATATTTTCCGCTACTATGACGGCAGTCCATTTTCGGATCCAACTCGAAAAATCACAAGCTGTGCTGAAAACTGTTAATATGCAAGGGTTTCAGGACAGTCTTAATTGTGTATTTTTAGAATCTTTGTAAAAATGAAACAACATAAATATGCGCATTAGGGAATGCAAATAAGCAAAACTGTATTCAATTCTACCGAACCATTTCAACATCAAAGTCTGTTTGATTGCCAGAAGAAATACGGAAAAGTTAAAGCTGATTATTTAACACACTTATTTAAAACACACAGAGAAAAAATTAAATTAGTTTTGATGCTTTTTTCCCCCCTGTTCTTCTTACTAAAGGTTCGTCAGATTTCGATAGTGTTTTTTATTCTCTCTCGATTTAATATCAGTTTTCAATCTGCAACCAGATACATTTTTTACTTCATCTTTTGGAAGGATTTAAAATATATAGAACGGTCATTACGGACTTAAAAATTTAGAATCATTAAAACAAATGTTAGTTAATTATAAACATTTAAGTAATCATAATAAAATAGACCTGAAAATTTAAAGTTTCAGTTAGTAGCCAGTGGCCGGTAGATTCCAATAACTTAGTAGCCACTCTTTCTTCAAGCCTAATGAGTCTAATAGAGATAGGTCAGTTAGTTCATTCAGTTTTCATTCAGTTTTCATTCAATTTATATTCAATATTCAGTTTTTACAAACCTTTTTGCTTAGATTAAAATTTTTTTATTTATTTATTTGAAGTTATCTATAGCTACGAAAAGTTAATTCAACAATAAAAATAATATAAACCTATGAAAAAATTTAGTTAAACATACTGACTTTAAAGAATTTTACTTAAAAATATTTGGGGAGACAAAATAAGATAATGTATACATTACAACTGCCGACCGACCTGTGTAGAGGGCATGGAACTGTCTTTGCACCAGAAAGGTTCTGGGTTCGAATCCCGGGCAAGGCATGGATGCTCTTTCATTCTCTGTACTATCTGTCTTTATTGTGGGAGTGACGTTGGCCCACCTAATATGGTGCCCCTGTAAGAGTGGCCAACAAAAATCGACCTGTATATGCCTGAATTGACGGATGTTAACACAGGTGGGCATTGGAAAAAAAAATACATTACAACTTTGAAATAAGTGAATTGTTAAAGAACTCTCCTTCTACATGAATCTGTCCATCACAAATTGATGAATTCTGAAGAATCAAAATTTTGAATGGAGACATTGGATATTTGAATGAAAATTTTGTTTTGCAGAGTCTTTCTTCACTAATGTACTTTTATCATTAAGTGATTAAATTTTTTTTTTTTAAATGTAAGTTGCCACTTTTTTAGTTGACTCGCCATCGCCATGTAGCGAGTTGTAATTTGAGTGACTAGAGGTAACGAAAACAAATTAAAAATTTTTCTACAGGAAAAGAAAAAACAATCAGAGCAGACGATATGGAAGTCAGTATCTGGACACCCATACATTGTTCAACTCTTTACTTCGTTTCCAGTTGAAGACAAGTAATTGATAAAATAATAATTGTTATTTAAGCTACAATTAAATGTATTAATATAAATGCAATTATATAAATGAGCATTCGCAACAGGCAATCATGGCCATAGCGAACGATAAATTCTGAGGAGGGGGGGGGGGTTCAAAACTCTTCGATTTAGATTCGCTTTTAAAACAACTGATTATTTAAAAAACTTCGGAGATTTTAAATTCTTTCACATTTTATAATTATTAATTTTAAACGATAAATTATTATTTATAATAAAAAATATTTGGTTAGTAAACTTTTGAGTTTTCCCCTTCTGATCACTTAAGAACTTCGAGCACTTATGCATCAAAATACAGTAAACGATGCAAATATATATATATATTATATGTAACGAAGTATTTTTTTTTAACCAAATATATATGTAATACAAAAATTATAAATATTTTTGTATTGATAAAAGAATTAAAACTCTTTCGGTTTCATAAAATGTCTTTGTTAAAGAGTAAGAGTAGAGATATTCTATTTTGGGAATTCAAGGCTGAAAACATACCATTGAATTGTAATTAGATTTATATTTCAAAGGAGGAGTTATTTTTAGAATCTTGTCCCTCTTTCACTTCCATATTAGGAAGCAGTGAATGATATTCCATAATGCGTAGAGTTACAAAGGTATGTACGACTGGAACCTAATTACATCATTCTCTGTAGTATTTGATGCAAAACCGATGGTTTTCGCAGGCCTCTTGCTGAATAACGTGTTCCATAAAACATCTGTCGGAACAATCCGGAGTTCCCCCCTTGTGAAGTGGGGATGTGAACTGTTATAACCATCAGCCTATCTTTAAATAAAGCTTTTTAGAACGTTTCATGGCTTATGACTGCATTATTAAAGATGAATACAACAATGATAACAGGGATGCAGCCCTGTTATTATAAGTCGACAGGATTCGAACCTGTAAATCTATGGTATGTTTTCAGCCTTGAATTCCCAAAATAGAATTTCTCTACTCTTACTCTTTAACAAAGACATTTTAAGAAACCGAAAGAGTTTTAATTCTTTTATTAATACAAAAGTATTCATAATTTTTGTATTATATTTATTTTGTAATTAGTTTCTGAAATTTTTTGAAGAATTTAATATGGTCCACTAAAAGGAGGTGACAACTTCCTCGTATTAGGATAAGTAAATTCTTCAAACATAACTAATTCATCAGTTTTAAAATCTATATCTAAAAATCTAGCATCATTATAGATTTTATTNATAGTTTAAAAAATACTTCGTTTTCTCAATAAATTAGTGTGATTTAAAGAGTAAAAGTTAAATGCTGTTTTTAGTTATGAAGACGGAAAACCGATCCCTTCACAAAAACTCTAATTCGTAAAAACACAAAATCGAATTTATAGAGCAGTTCTGTTTAAACTCATCAATCCAATCAAATTCGGAAGCAAAGAAAGTTATAATAGATAATTTTGTGTAACAATAAAAAATAAAAAAGTTGATTACAATATAAATTCAGGTATCAGGAAAAATAATAATGGTAAAATATTTTCTTCAGTCGATCAACTAGCTATTAAAAAAAAAAAAATAATGATCAGGAACATATTTCGACCGAAAAAATTCTATCGATTTACCTATTTAAGCCGACTTTAATTTTTTAATGCAGCTTTGACAGGGAAAAGCGAAAAGAAATTAGTCAATAGGTAAAATATTTTTTCTGTCGGCCTGCTTGCTAATTAAAAAAAAAAATAACAGAAACAAAAGCCTCTGAAAAAAGGCCAAAAGGTTAATCTGTCGATAGCCCGACTATAGCATTCCTCTATAACTTTGGAGGAGCAGACTGCTTCCCGCTTACTACGCCCCTGGTTGCGAATAACATTAATCACGATTAAATGACTTAAAATTGATAATTAAATCTAACTTTTACAGGATATTCTACATATTTGAATACTTTCCGAAAGGCAGCATCTGGTCCTTTATTAAAGTCCACAAAAAGCTACATTCTACAGTTGCTAAGATATTGACGTCACAAATCGCATTAGCCATCCATTTCATTCATGGAAAGAGTAATTAATCAAAATTATATATTATTTTTGAAAGATGACATTGATTAAAATACTGGTTGTTCTACCCTAATACAGAGTTCTTTCATTTCAGATATATTTCACCGAGATATCAGTAACAAAAACATCTTCCTAAGTCGTGACGGAAAAGCAAAATTATCTAATTTCCAGTACTCTGTGGTACGTACAGTACGCAAAATAGAAAACGGACCACTCTGAATAACTTTTGATCTAATGATCGGATCTTTAAGTTCTAAGACTCAATCTTAAAAGATTTGAAGGAGTGACCTCAAATAGGCTAATTAATTAATGCAGACGATATATTAAGTTATGAAATCAGACACAAAAACGTACTTTCTCTGAAAAAATATACTTTTTTTCCCAACAGATTCGGAATTCTGACCCCCGTAGTGCAATTTGAGAAATATGGTCTCAATTATTTGGTCAAGAGAGCTATTCAAAGTTCAGACCCATTATTGTTAATTTTATTGTTTTGCGTATTTCGCAATACCTCAAGAACTTTTTAAGTGAATTGAAAACTTTTTGCACACAATTATAAAATTCCATGCAAAATATATCCTTTACAAAACATTTATTATTTTAATTAATAAAAGTTGAAACAATTTTGAACTGTAAGGTATAAAATTCTTCACATCATTTTGAAGAATGCAATTTTAAATGGGAAAATGCAAAATTTGAGCGAAATCTGTCGAATGGCTCCTAAAAAATCGAATTTTGTAAAAATCGTATTTTTACTGTACATATCAGTTTTTAAAATTTTATTTATACGGTAAAAATATTGAAACAAAAAGGACTTACTTTTCCACTTTATATCCTGTGAAGCAAATGCATGTAGATAATATGAATCAAAAACAAAATTTTATATTTTCAGAATCATAATTTTGCTTTTAATTTTTTGAATTAGTAAACAAGTCTTTGAAGGATGATTAGTTTCTTGTATACTATAAACTAAAACTTGTATACTACAGCCAGTCTTTAAAAATCACAAGTTTGTTAAAGCCCATTAAATTGTAAGAAGTATCAACTATAATCAATAATCAAAATTACTTTAAATTTTTAGATGGAAAACAACACTCAAATTTGGCATGGCCACATTCTCTATCAAGCTCCAGAAGCTTTTTCAGATTGTACATGCGGTAAGGAAAGCTTTTTAAAACATTTCTTATTTTAGAAGCCTAAGATATGTTCACATCAGTCGTCACAAATTTATATATAAATGGCGAAATTTATATGAAAATATAAATAGAGGAAGTTTGATTTCTATCAAAAATGTTTTGTATCCAGATTTCTTTAATTTTAATTCTACGTTCTTCTCGCTTAAAGCTTAATTTGTGACTTCTGTGGGCATGTAACTTGGGTAAGAATTCTAAAAACATAGACTAAGAGTGGTACTTATGTAACATCACTCTGTCTAAATTTTGTTTTTAGACGATAAATTCCAAAAATGATATAATTCAATAATTGATCTGCAGATTTTATTGTTTTGAAAATGGACAGGTTTCCAACAATGGACAATTAGTCATCCTTTCATTTTGTGACATAATAAAGTTAGCTGTTAACCAAGCCAACAGCCAAAATGCAAATATTTACTTCAACTTTATCTGAAATCAATACACCGGTTTTGAAACGTGCTTGTTCCTCTCCACTTGTTATGTAACAGAACCGGTTAAACCTTTTTTCTGACTTCGAATAACAACTGCAAATATTATAACAACTGCTGAGCCCAGATGGCTCAAGGGATAGAGCGTTCGCCTTCCAATGAGACAAACCGGGTTCAAATTCCGCATCCGGCTTGCACCGACTACATAATGTAGTCTACATTGCCGACATGAAATATCTTCAGTGGTAGACGGATCATGGGTTAGAGTCCCCTTGCCGTTACGCTAACCATGGGAAGTTCTCGTGGTCTTCCTCTCCATCTAACGCAAATGCGAGTTATTTCCATCAAAAAGTCCTCCACGAAGGCAAAATTTCTCCACATACTTGATCCAGGAGTTCCCTTGTCTTCTGGATTGGGTTCAAAATTACAAGACTACGGAGTTGAACATTAGAAGTCGTAAATGCAGAAATTGGGTCGGCTGTTCAACGACGNGAGTGGTTAGCGTGCCTGACTGCGAAGCCAATGGCTGCGGGTTCGAATCCCGCTCTAGGTATGGATATTTCTCTGTGTGTTGTTCTCTATTGTGTGATGTGTGAATGTGGCCCACGCTATAAAACGGGTATCTGTGGCAGTGTGGGTCCCGCAGTGGACTGATCATTAAGACACGGTTCCCAGCAGATCACCGAAGTCAAGCTTCACTGGCTGCGGTCAATGTGCGGATGGGTGACCCACTTGGATCAGTCTGCGTAGGGACCGAGGGTGTGCGGTATTGGTCCTCGTTAAACTGTGCTACCGTAAAGTGCTCGACATCGCGCGCAGGTCGTTGGGCTACCGAAGCGGGGGTGCCATCCCCTCTGCAGAGGATCAAAATTGTGATGGATGTCTTCGGATCATCCTCAGGGATGTTTCCCAGACCGTCGCCAATAGCCCATTGTGCAGCTCTAGTGCGACGTAAATGAACTACAACAACAACTGTGGCAAAGTGGCGTGGGTAATGTTGCTCGCCTCCGTGACTTAGGTTCACAGGTGCCCACAGGGTAACGTTAAATGAGTAATACTTCCGTCATCCTCCTAGGTCAAGAACGAAAGTTCAGTGGCTGTCGTTAAAAAAAAATACTTACAGAAATAATTAATCTTAATTATTTAAGAGGCTCCGCCCATTTCTAGTCGTCTATATAATATAAAAGTGTCTATGGAAAGAACTGTCCCGCGCCATTCGTCTAGAGCAGTGGCTATGGTTTTACTATTTCAAGTGGGGGTGATGGATCACTATTGTGATCACAGGTGATAGAGAGATGTATTATTTCATGTTTCCATAGAAGCGGGTGGCCTTAGACGTTATGGCAAGGGGAGTTCCTTCCTTAAACAAACCGTGTTCTGCCGTGCAATTGATAAAACAATTTAAATGTTTCACGGCAGATTTTGAGAAAAGTAGCCTGAAAACTATTTTCTTTCTATTTCTAATGCTAAAATATAATTTCAAAAAACTATAATAAAACATTTATTTATGTTTAAATATATAATATAATTAATATAAATATATATTAATATATAAAAATATATTTGTCAGATATATAAATATATAAGACAATATATATATAAATATACATGACAAATATATAAAAATCTCAATTTTGAGCTTTTTGTCGCTTAAGTTGATTTTTCTATTGCACGGCAGTATTGAAGAATTGGTGCCGAATGGATTGAATATTACCTTTGGAGCATATGACACATATTTTATACCTTCCTGCCACGCAGAATGCTCTAATCCAGATTTTTCCTGTTCAAGGTTGCCACTGCTTTACTTTTCCCGAAAACTTTCATGAAATAATCTTACACTTGAATTCAATCCTTTTAATCCAACACAAACGTTGGGAACATTAACTCTACATATTTCATCGTTCTCATTATTAACAAAATCTTACGGTTAACAAAAAATAAAATGTAAAACACTAAATTCCTAGCACTTACTGTCTCTTTTCTGGGAGTTTCCGTCACATTAATATTAGAAAGAAGGTAAAAATAAAAAAATTGCTGAATGAAAACTTGTCTTTTTTTCTCATTTTTCTAACGAAATATTTCTAATTCTATTATTTTGTCGGTGATGGCGGCTATTTCACTTTATGAATAAGCAAACAATAACGATTTCATATTTCTAGTAGCACTTCACACACAGGGACCGATCAAGACAAATTCAGGTCCACCAAATTTTCCGGGTCCCTTACAAGATATTTTGAAATTAAATTACTGAAGAGTAGTCCTAACAATGAAAAAGAATCTATTGAACTGCATGATTCAAGAAGAACATTCTGAGAAATTTTGAAAGCAGACAATTGAAGATTATTTTTCCAAGATAAATTTTACGTATCTATAAATTAAAGCAAAATATAAAACAACAAAACAATGCTATATCAAAATAAAAATAGTTTGGTGGCCACAAACAATGGAAATCAGTGATTTTTGCTACAAGTCACTGATTTTTATTTAATACTGTTTGTTGTAACACTGTTTTTTATTTAATACTTAAGTCAACACAAAGCTAGCCCACCTTTCATTAAACTTTTTACTAATTTTTGAGGCCCCCCAGAAATTGTGGGCCCTAGACGATAATCAGGCCTTGTTCACACACAAATATTGCGGTGAACTGAATAAATGAAAATGCATTGCAATAGAGGTACATGCCTGATGTAAATTACTATAATTTCAGATACAAATGCTGACTGGTTTTCCCTCGGTATTTGCCTATATGAAATGGTTGTGGGTATGACTCCAGTTGAACTGCATTGTTTGAGACATAACGTTGATTTTCAAAAGCTGGATGATTTCGGGAAAGTAGCCGGTGAGTACAGCACAAACAGCTAAAATAATATTAAGACATTATGTCTGGTTTGACATAAGCAGATTTTGATACGAAATGTGGAGAAACCTACTTTGAAATAAACCAGAGATAAACATAGGTTGAAAAATTCCTTAATCCCTTATAAGGCAGTACACCGAAGAGCCATTACATTATGACCACCTTCAGCCCTCAAAACTGCTAGCACCCGCCGTGGCATTGATTCCACAAGGTGCTGATAGGTAGTCTGAGGTATCTGGTACCAAGCGCTCACCAACTGGTCCTGCAATTCCCTCACATTGCGAGGGGGTAGCGTGGCAGCACGAATTTGGTTTTCCAAGTAGGACCACAAATGCTCTATTGGATTAAGGTCAGGTGAATTTGGGGGCCAAGACATGACTTGAAAGTCACTGGAATGTTCCTCGAACCAATCCATGACGATTCGACCCTTATGACATGGTGCATTATCCTGTTGGTAAACACCATCCCCCGCAGGAAAAACTGTTGCCATGAATGGGTGAACCTGGTCTGCAACTATGTTCAAGTAGCTTACAGACGTCAGGGATTGTTCTATGAGGATTATGGGTCCTAATGTGCCCCATGAAAACATTGTTCCTGGGCGAGAAACCATGAAAACCTGGGCGAGCCCATTGTTATAGATGGAGGGCGGTCATAATGTAATGGCTCTTCTGTATATACTTCCCATCCCACCAACTTCAAAAAATGAGGATGGGAAGCTATTTCCCCACTAATAATTTGTAGTGCGGCTTTCTAACTTCCGAAAATAAGATAATAATAACAATAATGAAAAGGCTTTGCTTACATAAATGGGGGTAACATTTAAGATTTGCGTGTAGTCAAGAAAGGACTTCACGGGAGAGCTATTACTCTTGAGCATTATGTGTTCGTTTATTTGTTCATTCTTAATTGAGTTTTTTTTTTTTTTTGTAGTTACAAACACAGAATTCATACATTTGGTTACAGAAGTTTAAGATCATATTTTACAACATATGTAAAAACAAAATATGTATAAAATATGTTAAAAAATTAATAAATAAACATGAGATGTTGACAGATATAAATCTTAACATTGATATTGTAATTTTTAAAAATATAAAATACACCTGACCCAGATAAAAAAAAGTTTCTGATTTGAAAATCAATGGTATAAGGTTAATATAGAGATAAAAGGCCATCTTTACACATTGTTTACAAGCAAAATTACTTCTCATTTATTGTTTCTCATTGTGCATCACGATCTATATTCTCAAGTTTAAATATTCTTTTCCTAAAATTCTGGTAATTTTACATTTTGTTACGATTAACACATTAATCTCAAAATGTTCTTGTATGGAATTATAATATATATACATTCTTTCTAATCGAAATTAATATTTTTTTGGAAAAAATACCGAGTATAATATCAATATTTTTTTAAAGCAAAGTTCGTAAGTGGATAGAGCAGGGTGCAAAACCATCTGGTTTCCTTGAAAAATATAAAATATTTTCAAATTTTTTATTCATTTAAAGTTTTATCAACTAATTTCTGCTACGATTTTACATTCATGCAGATTCAAATCGTTACTGCTCTGTTAAATGATTCAAGCACAATTATTTCACCGTTAGTAAAATTAAGATCCCAAATTTCGTCCGACTTAGAACAAGCTAAAATCAATAGATCTCGATTTTTTCCAAAGCTAGAGAACATAAAATGAACCAGAATTTAGTTCTGTTTGTAACGTTTCGTTGATCTACGTACGTTACTAACCAAACCCTTACCTTTTTTTTAATTTTTAAGGACATTAAAATATTCTCACTTAATCAGAGATCCAATAAGTATTTAGGTTTATGTAGAAAGGATAAATTTATGTGTGTTTATAGGGATCACTAACGTAAGTATGCCAAATCCTGAAATGCCAATTTGTTCCGCTTTGTGAGGAATTATTTTTTTTTAAATAGCGAAATTTATGTTTCAATATTCGATTTACTAAATTAGAAAAAAATGATTTTAACAACCATTACAAATGAAATTTTACTTTGTGACAGATTTTGTGGAGAGTTTTTAAAGAGTTTTCAAAATGAAACAAAATTTTGAAAATTCTAATAATTTGCCACACCAATTTGTTTCTGTACAAAAAAGTGGGTCCAGGAATATTTTTTTAACATGCGAAATATTTATACCAGTGCTATTCCTTACACTGTAAATTTTTCTTAAATTGGTGTGATTGAAGAACTCAGTTATTTACCATCATTAGCAGAAAAAAAATATTTTCATTACTGTGACAATCTACAGTGAAAATATTTTATTACATTTTAATTGTGTCGTATTGATTTGTAGTAATGATGGCAAGCACATATTATATGCCAAAAGTATTTTCCAAAAATTTGAAAGGAGCATTGGCAAAGTTTCTGAACAAGGTATGTGCATTTTTTTTGAAATTAAGAATCATTTTTGTTATTTTTAGAATAAGTCAATAAACTTTTATTTTCAAATTGCATGTAGAGCCTCTACATGCAAGTTCTTTTGGTTGCAGAATTCAATGGCACATTATATGTAACATATAATGACAATATGTATATTACACGTTACATTAAATAATCAATATACAAATAAATGATATTAACTATGTTTAGAATAGAGCCGACCTGGTGGTCGAGTGCCTGACTGCGGAGCCGCTGGTCGCGGGTTCGAATCCTGCTCAGGGCATGAATGTTTCTTTCTTTCTCTCTGTGTTCTACGTCCTTTCTCCCTTGTGTGTGAATGTGACCCGCCCTATAAACGGGTTTGTGGTTGTGTGACGTGGGCGATGCTGCTCCACCGCCGTGGTTTCGCCACAGGTGCCCACTGGGTAACGAGAAGAGAAAAGCAGTTCTGTGGCCAATGGGACAACCCCCAAGTGCCCGCCATTAAAAAAAAAGTTTAGAATAGAAATGAAAGAGCACAAAAGGAGGAACAAGTAATATTAAAAAAAAAATTAAGTCAATAGGTCATCAAAGAAAATTTTTATTTCAGTTACTTCTTATTAAATGATCTCATATAAAACTAAATTGAATTAATTAAATTTAATTAATGAATTAATATTTGAAAAAACTATATTAACATCAAACATCATTCACTACGAGTTTAAAAAAATGTATTTGCACTTCAGTAGAAGAATAAAAAGTATTTTATTCAAATTTTAACAAGGGAAAGTGTGAACTAATAGAAGGAATTTAAAAATAACTAGTTTATCTCAGGGTTATAAATATGTGACAGGGTGTTCATGATAGAGTGGCAGGAAATAAGACGCTCTTTATTTAAACATACAGGAATATAGGGAGCGCATTAAATCATACATAATAATCAATGTGTTTGAATTTTATGCTAGGGAATGCGCAAGATCTCTTATGTCACATACAAAAAGAATACATTATTGATTATAATAAGTTCAAAATATAGGTCAAAAGATTTCACAGAATCTCATGCCTCCTTAAGAAAAATATTTAATATTGTTAACTCAGCAATCTTTAACCTATTTTCAAAACAGGAAGTGAATTATTAATTATGTGAACGGGTTTCGCTTAAATAATGAATTAAGAAAGAAAATTTAGACAATGAAATAATATAAAAAGATAAGTAAAATCTTTTTAAATTGCATCTCTTTCTCCTTATATGTATACAGTACAGAACCTGTTATCCGGAAATCAGAAAACCGGAAAACCAAAAAACCGGAACAAAATTCGATAAATTTTCCCGCCATTAAAAAAATTTTTTTTTTTTTTCCTCATAAGATTTTAGGATTTTTCTTTCTATTTTGAAAGATGTTTACCATACCATCATTTTAGAAATAATCATTAGAGTATTACTTCATCGTTTTTTTCTTCTTTTTAAGATTATTTCCAAATATATATATATTTTTTTAGTTGGGTTTAACAATAAAAAAAAACGCCTTTTTGTAGCGATTCAGAAAACCGGAAAAATCAGTTATCCGGAATAGCGATGGTCCCGATCTTTCCGGATAATCGGTTCCCTACTGTTTATGTATGTATGCTATGTACTTTTATATATAAATATATATATATTCATGCTTAATGGTACACAAGCAAAGTTCTAAGATTGGTTCCAAAAAAAAAAGAAAATAAAAAGGAATAAGAGAAAAGGAGAGAAACTATGTTTTCTCAGGGTCATGGGATACATTAAGTGACTTAAACATTATTTTAATAAGAAATAAAACACAGTGCATAAATAATTACATAATGAACAAAGAGGTAACTTAAAACCTAAATGTGACTATGGACGAAAGACAATTAGAATTACAACAGAAATTAGCAAACAGCAGCACAGAAGTATGAATGATTAGTCTATTTGATCCTAATTTTCAGAATGTCGATGCTAACAAATTTAAACAAAAATCAAACCATTATGATTTTCTCTAATTTAAAAAAATATGCAAATTCTAGTCTACAACATAAAAAGACGTAGCATTCCATAACTCCACTCCCTTGAGTCAGCCCGTATGTTCATGCAAACAGGTGTAATAAAAAACTTTAAATTTAAATTCACGCAAGAATAGTACTGTCTATGGAAAGAAATTCCCTCACCATTTGTCTGGAGCAGAGGTGGTGACTATGGTTACGAGGTTTAACTATTTTAAGTAGGTTTTGACTCGGGTTCATGAAAGAAGGAGAATCAGGGGAGAGAGAAGCTAACCTCTTAGAAATGTGCTATTTCTTGTTTCCATAGCAGCAGACGGCCTTAGACTTTGTGGTGAGTTTTTTTTTACAGACAAACTGTAAGTTAGTAACATCCAAAGTTCATGGAATATTATAGTACTTCTTGGTACAAATTTAGTTGTATGTGCTGGTGCTACAACTTAGGAACTTCAGTTCCATAATTAGAACTATGCTTCTTGCAATAGTTTTAAAATAATATTATGAATTTCTCTGATTCAGGTTTAAATCCTATCATATCAATATTTTTAGAGTAGATTTATACCCCCACTTTATTTCAGGATGTTAAGAAGCGTCTGGGGTACAATGATGACTTAGAATCCATAAAAGAGCATCCATTTTTTAAAGATGTTGATTGGAAAAGACTGGTATGTTTCTTTGATTTCAGATAAAAGATACTGTTAAAAGTCTTTGTGAAGAAAGAATTACAATCTTGAAATCCAATTAGAAATGAAGTTCTGACTAAGGTTAATGAAAGGGTATAAATATTAAAATAGATAATTATAGAGAAATTAAAATGTCTAATACTAGGGGATTTTGTGTCCTGCTTGCAATTATTTATTGCTTGCTACACATTTATTGTTTGCTTCATAAACAAAATTAGATATAGTCATGCAATCACACATTTTCTTTCTAGTTTTAATGCTCATGTACTGAATTCTGAATGAATACAGTCTGAATCTGACAGGATGTTTTAATTTAATCAAATAATAATATATTAATAATTATCAATTAAATTAAATTGTATATGTATCTAATTTAGGACTGGATCTTCTTATAAGTGAACCTAGAGAAAATATTAAGGAAAATTCAAGCTTATGAATTGCTTAATGTAATTTTTTTATAGATATATTTTTTCAAAGGGTAAAATTAATTTATCGTTTAAAATTAATTCATCGATCATACTTTTCTTATTTCAAAAATTTTCAACTGAGGAATGCAATCAACTTGTGTGCTTCATTACCATTTTAAAATATGTGGTCTTTGCATTTATCTGGACATATGTTATTTATCAAAAAAAGATATTTGAACTAGATAATTATTTTAAATGCTAATTTAATGTACATTAACATTAAAAACTAAACAAGATACATTATTATCAGTTAATTTCCTATTTCTTAAAGTAATTGTTACATCCAAATTAATCCAGTATTTTTTAATAATGATAAAATATTTGATATTGCGCACTCAGGATATAAAGACTAAGTTATAATGTCCGTTTTCTTTATCAAGTGTCTTTCTGTCTCTCTCTATATATAGAGAGACTATTTTCCACCTATAGGAGCCGGAGATAGTCGGTCTGGCCCTGATCATAATAGATATTAGATAATATTCTCAAACTGAATTTTAAAATTAAAATCTCAATCTAAATATCTATTAATAAGTTAAATAAATGAAATTATTATTTTTATCTTTTTACAGGAATGTGGTGAACTGACTGCTGATCTCCCAGATGACAGCTGCTTATGGTTTGAAAAAGATGAATTTACAAAAAATGTTACAGAAAAAAAATTGAAAATAAATATTTAAATGATAAAATATTTTTATATATGTATTGACCTTTTAAGATGGCAGTTATACTCGAATTTAAAAAAAAATCATGCAATACATTTTAATAATAATAATAAAAAAATCTTAATCGCGTCTAATCTGATTCCCCTCTAATGTTACATACGAAAGTCACATTATCCCATAATATGATAATAAAAAATTCAAGAAAATACTCAAAGTAAATAAACAGAAGACTGCACAATACTTCATATTAAAATCACGTCTGTTCCCAGAACATTTACTTTTATAAAGTGGCTGTATTTATAAACCAAAATGGGGAATATTTTTAAAATTTAAACTTTACAAATACACTACATTTATATTTCATTTTTCTTAATTTACATTTGACTTAATTTAAAAATTAGCTACAATTTCTAATTTCTCAAAAAATATTAGCTTATTTACTTGATTAGCAAAATTTAAGGTTATAAGATTCAACATGGTTCAAAACTTTATAAAAAGTTTTTGTATCTTCAAATATTTATTTTTCTTTGTGGCAAAGTTCATTTTAAAATATCAAGTGATTTTCTGACATCTATTGTTCGATAAATTTACTTCAATAAATGATTGAGTTGGTGATAATCAATGACACTGAATGATGACAGGCATTTAATAATTTTTATCCATTCATAAATAGTTTTTATTTGAATTCTTTTACACCCCTCTTCCGTAATATAACTCCAAACATTCAATCCTAAGAAGTGTAATCCACAACTTTGTGCACAGGGGAAGCTGAATGAAATTTGCTACTTATAAATTACTCATCTTTTAAAACAAAACGTCTTTTAAAAAAACTTAGACATGAAAAAGCAAAGTGTTTCATTTTTAAAACACATGCCAAAGAAAAATTTGATTTTTCAAAACGGAGATAATGATTCTACTGAAGAATAAATTTTGCAGGTTTCGATATTGTAATGATTCTGTTCCTGCAGGTTTTAATAGAATGGCTGATTTTATAATCGAGTAATTTCATTAGTGACAGCCACAGTACAGTTCCATAAATTTAAAAAGTAATGCATGCCATAGCGTCAGAAATGCTGCAGACAGCGAAATCCTTTAGGGTCATTAAAAGAGATCGGATGAGTGTGCAGCATATTGCAAATAAATTATTACCAGTTTGCAATAACGGTGAATTTAAAAGTGTATCCTTAACATAACAATAGCATAAATTTTAGTCACTGAAGATGATTGCCCTGCTTTTTTACTGTATCTGAGTAATGCAGATGCCACAAGTCGTTAACTTTTCAATTACCTCTAATCATTAAAGCAAGAGCAGCAACAAATTCATTGGAGATCACTTTATTTGCTTGCCCCGGTATTGGCTGATCTGATGCGAATATTAGCACTTTACAAAAACTTATATACCACTTGTTCGATTGAAGAAGGTAGACAAAGAGTTGAGAGGTGATTATCAGAAAGGACTCTGAGTTTATTAGCCCTATCACTGATGAAGAAAGTGAGATTGAAAACATCAAAACACGTTTGATAGCAAAATGAAACTTAAATTTTTTTTTAACATACCTTGTCAATCAGGCAGTTTTTGATGTTTTCAATCCTGCCTTTCTAAATAGTCAGTTTTTAAATTTCTAAAGCATTTTAGTTTTCACCATGCTTAATATTAATTTGTACCCAATACTGTGCATACTTGACAAGGAATCTAAAATTGCATGTTAAGGGCAGTCATTGAGGAGTATACTACAGTGAAACCTGTGTATAACGATAAACCTGTCTATACCGATATTTCTTTGAGGTCCCGGTGAAATTCCTATTTACTCAATGTATTTTTAAACTGTTTATAGCGATAACCACTTTTCAGTTAAACATGTCTACAACGATAATTTTTCATCTTTTGATAGTTCTACTCCAATTTTTCTACCGTTGGAAAACGACTCCCCATCAAGCCTAAATGTGAGATAACAAAATGTTTTTTTTTTCCCATCTCCTTTGTATGTAATATTCTTTCGTTGTTTCTGAGAAAAAAAACTGCTTGATGTGGATAAGGAGATGAAAAGAAAGAAGAAAAAAATAGCTCTCTTAGTTGACAACTGCACTCCTCACAACAATCCTCCAAGTTTGAAAAATATAAAATTGTTTTATTTTCCCCCAAATTGCACGTCGATTCTACAGCCATTAGATTTGGGAATAATAAAATGTTTCAAAGGATACTATCGAACAAGATTAGTTCAGAACGTTGTTTATAATCTGGATAATAAACTCCCAAATCCTTATGCAGTTGATGTAAAAAATGCATGTGATTGGGTTTCCGGAGGGTGGAATTCATTGACACAATCCACCATCCAAAATTGTTGGAAGAAAGCTTCTTTCTTTGAGGATAAAAGCAACGGAAACGCAGAAACTGAGCTTACTGAAATCACTGATGAAGAAGAAAAAAGTGTGGCAGGCTTAAATTTGATTGTCAGTGATTTCCAAAGATCATCCAATACATCATTTCTATTTAACGCAGATGAATTTTTAAATTTAGATAATGATGTGTTGGTTTTCAGTGGTGCAAGTGATGAAGAGATTTTAGCAGAAGTTATCCTGGGTGATCAGAGTGATGAGGAAGAAGCAGCTGACTGTTCTCAAAACAGGACTCAAATTTCACCCGAGAATGCCATATTGCTAATTAACACTTTGCAAGATTTTGTTGCAACATTACTAAATGTAACTGATGTTCATTTGAATTCATTAGATGGACTGAAATCTATGTGCATGGAAATGGCAATTGCTTCCAAAAATAAGCAAACAAAACTAACCGATTATTTTTCTAAATAATTTCTGTTTTGATTCATAAAATTGTAAGTAAATTTTTCGTGTGTGCTGTTTCATAATTCTAAGTAAAATTTTCATTTGGAGCCTATAAAAGAAGTTTAATTTATCATTAGTTTTAAACGTATACATTCAAATTTCAAACCTGTCTAAAACGATAACCTGCCCATAACAATATTTTATTTAGGTCCCTACAGTATCGTTATAGACAGGTTTTACTGTATATGGTAATTTAAGAAGGTTTAAGATATATAACTGTTATTAACTGCTAAATCATGAAATAGTATACATTATCTTTGTATTAAATTTATTGCAAATTACAAAAATATATTTGAAGTTATTTGATATTACAGTTGAATAGCTGCATTAATAATGATCACCTGATTAGAAGTTCACAATGCTTCTTAATCTGCAAAAAGGAAAAAAAGAAAAAATTAGAAATTATAATAGTACACTTACTTTTCTTTAGTATAGTTTAAATCAATAATGAAAACTGCTTTTTGTAATAAACAACTAAGCATCAAGACACTTTTTTAATGCATTTTTAAAATTTTCATTCTGAAGTTCTAAGTATAAAAATGACCAAAAATACTTTTTGAAGAACTATAGATTGAATCTCGATAAACAATAAGCAGATAAATAATGTAAAAAGGCAGCGATTTCTACATTTTTTTAAAGTCAAAGTGCCCTTTTCAAATAACATTTTTCTACAGCTACAAATCTTAAGTAAATATATGACTGATCATAAACAGGATATAAAAATAAATGACACTCTTGTATCTGTTATAAATTCCTATAATATCTATATAAGTCAAATTCCACAGGACATTATAATTTTCTGAACAGCTGTGGCAAACATCTCAGAAATCACTGAAATACGAGAGCAAGGGAAAATTTAATTTTTAAGAATATTATCTGAATCCCAGAACTTAAAATAATTATAATACTTTGATATTGTAAATGATTCTCATAAAGTTAGAAAAATTAGGGCTCCAAAACTAGATGTAGATGTATTAATGGTCATAAATAGGATATAGAATAAATGAAAATCTTGTATCTGTTATTTTACGAATTTATAAATTTATTTGCCGAATTCCATCGAATATTATTCTCTGCCCAGCTGTGGCAAATATTTTGGGAATCATTGCAATATATGATCAAGGGAAAGAGTTTATTTAAGAATGTTATCTGAAGCCCAGAACTTAAAATATTAAAGTATTTAGACGTGAGTAATTCTCATAAAAGAAAAAAAAACTGAATACATGTTTATACTTAACTAAGTACTAAATAAAAGCTTCCTTTTTCACCAAACTTTTAAGCAGATTCCTATAAAAATACTTAATTTAAACTACTGTTTATATCAATGCATAAGTCGCTTTTAGAACCCCTAAAATTTTATGAAAATATTATACACCCATAATAAATCAGACATTCGTTGATCGCGAAATATTGCTGCATTATATACATTGAGTTAGATGTGATTTGCTCTGTATCACTTCGCCACTTTCAAAAACTGTTTTTAATATATATACAGTCAATTATGGATTTCCTTTATACAGGGTATCTGCTACATTTTAGATTTTCAAATTCATGACTAACTCCAAGAATTTTTCATGACTTAACGAAGTTACTATTTTCTCCGACAAAAACACAACAATAAATTTAAAAAGGATTATAATAACATTCATTGAAATGATAGGTACAGTACGGAACCCGTTATCCGGAAATCAGAAAACCGGAAAACCAAAAAACCAGAACGAATTTCGACAAATTTTCCCACCATTTTTAAAAATTTGTTTTTTTTTTTTTCCTCATAAGATTTTAGGATTTTTCGTTCTTTTTTGTTTCTTACCATCATTTTGAAAATAATCATTAGTGTATTACTTCATCGTTTTTTCTTCTTTTTAAGATTATTTCCAAATATAATTTTTTTTAGTTTGGTTTAACAATTAAAAAAAAAACGGCTTTTTGTAGCGATTCAGAAAACCGGAAAAATCAGTTATCCGGAATAGCGATGGTCCCGATCGTTCCGGATAATCGGTTCCCTAATGTATAACCAAAAACTGTGTCATACTCTGCATCTTCATATTTATTGATTTTAAATTTAAAAAACAGAGAAAAGAGTCAAAGCAATAAAATAGCTTAAAAAAAACAAAAGCAAATAATATTGTTTCTTTTTTTCTGCAGACTCACATTCTAAAGATACTTTTCTTGTTCATCGTAAAAGAAAGAAATACACCTGATCTTTCTGATCTCATTTTGGAATAATTTTTAAAGAACACGATAAAAACATTTTATATTTTAATCAAATATGACTGTGAGTGGGGATTTTGTTACAAATTCAGATATTCAGAACACCATGAAATTCGGGGGAGGGGGTAAATTCCATTTTAAAAACTAGATTTTTCGGAGACCTAAATCCATGACTTTCTTAAAAAAAATAGTTAAAAACGTGACATTGAAAGACAAATTTTGTTCTACTCCAAAATCCATAACTTTCCAGTAACCCGGATACACTGTTTATATAAAAACTTTTTTTTTCTTTTCAGAAACACTTTAAATTACATTTTAAAAAAATTAAGAAAAAGAAAGATTAAAATAACTTACTGCAAAGTATTTCAAAATATATAACAAAGAAAACTTTTCAAACATGCCATAAAGCTACAAATTTAAAGATTTCAAAACATAATCTATGTCAATTCAATAGGGCAAATGTATTATAACCAGAGAGAAGAATGTGAAACATTTTAAACTCGAAGAAATTCTATAAACTCAATTTTCTCCCTTTTGTAGTCTACTTATATACCTGACATACTAGAAATTTGGTATTTCGTATTAAAAATTGGGACTGACTTATACACAGAGATCTACAGTAATTAAATTTAAAAACATTGCTATTTCCCTTTTTAGATAAGTTCATTTGATTTATCCAAAGAAATACTTACGATTTTCCAGCATGCATTAATTGAAAAGCTTCATTAATTTGTCCAAGTTGGAAACTATGAGTAACAAATTCATCAACCATCAATTTTCCATTCATATACTGTTCTACTAATTTTGGTACACTTTCTCTACTTTTCCATCCTATTCAAAATTAAAACATAAATAAATAACGATATTAAAAATAAATAAATAACGATATTAAAAATAAAAATAAGCAAAATACAATTGATGCATATTTAAATTTAAAAGAGAAAAAGAAAAATTATGTGTTGTAACTTTGAGCAAGATTTACTTTACTTGCATAACATAAAGCAATAAGGAAACTTAGACAAAACTATTTTAACAAAAAAATTCTAATAATTTAGGTTTAAATAAAATTAACTTTGCTTATTTTAAATAAGAAGTAAAAGTAATATGATATTAACACGGAACAAATATTATTAATTTATTTTTTATTTCCAGATTTGTATATTGCAAAATTAAAGAGAAGCAAACTTTGATTAAAAGAAAGCATTTGTGAAGTTACTGTATATGAAAAGATGGCCAATGTTAAAATGTTCAGATGAAAGTTTTTAAATTCTTAAAAAAAATAGTACAAAATAAGTACATCTGTACTCAAATCAGCAGGGCTACTTTTGTGCAAGTAGGAAAACAAAATAAAAAAAATTATGTGAAAAGAACCATTAAACTGTCTAAGGAGTGTCATTATGGTACTGAAATGATAATCTGATTATGAACCTTTTTTATTTATTGAAGCTTATTCAGCTTAAAGGGTTAGTTTCTTGGATTTTGAGATGTGTCTTAATGCATTGCAATGATATACCCAATGTTTTAAGAGTAACAAAACAGCTAAGAATAGAAGTACTTAAAATTTGAAGTTTTGCAATGCTCCTTGCAGTTCACTGTGCATTGAGAAAACTTCAAAAGCATGTTTTTCAAAGCCATATATTCATTTAAATTACTCAACTCTAAAATACAATTTTTAGAGTAAGGAGATGATTTAAGAATTGTGGATTCAAAGAAAAAACTTTTCAAGAAAGAAAAAAATTTCATTCTTGCAAAAATTGGTATTTTACATGTGATGTAGAAAATTTGAATAAGAAAATACTTTGTTTTTTAAAGAAATAATTCACAGAATATTCAGTGGTACTAGTTTATTCAAGACACAAATTTTAAGAATAATTTGTTAAAATTAACTTATTTCCAAATGTAAATAAAACATTAAAACAAAACTTATTAACTTATTTCCAAATGTAAATAAAACATTAAAACAAAAAGAAATCGTTTCAGTTTCACAACAAAGAAATCTAAACTGATAAAACTTTTACTCAGTTAATTATTAACTTTTATGATAGTTATTTTAAATACAGATAATTTTTATGCCAAAATATTGAAAATGTAGTCAACCTTGAAATTTGAATAATGAATGAACAAGACTGCAATAGCATCAATATTTAATATTTATACAGATTAAATTTATTAAGTACTAAATATTTTAAAAAGACTTATTATTTTAATAACGAAAGAAAATACATATATAAAATTCCATGTATATGAAGTCACATATTTAGTCCATTCATATAGAAAATCACATTTAAACTCTGCATGCTTCCAGGCAGAGTTATAAGTTTCTCCTACATTATTTATTACACACCATTAGAAGGTATGAAATAGGAAGATATACTTAAAATAGGAAGATACGAAATGTTTTTCTTAGGCCATAAGTAATTTATATTTAAAGAATAAAATGTGAAGAATAAAACTAAGTCTAAAGTAGTTTTCTTTACATGTCTATAGCTAAAATAAGTATTAAAAGGCCACCAACAATAGCTCTAATTTTGGGATGCCCAAATTTTTCCAGAAGAAATCCACAAAGAAAAACTCTTTTGAGGGCTAGAATGAATTTAGTTTTGATATCAATTGATAATTTCAACCTTTTTAATTACAATGGGTACAATATCAATTGGTATTAAATGCATATTATTTTTTAATTAAAAAGCAATTTTAACTAAGACACTTTGCAGTTTTTAAAAGTCAAAATCACAGCAGGCTTTTAATTTTTTTAGAATGTTTTTTTGGGGTTCATAAATTATTTTATTTAAAAAAAAATATGTACAGTAAATTCTGTTTTAAAAATGGTTGGAGAGCTTTTCTAAGCAAAGATAAACTTCCTTTTAACTTAAAAAAAAAAAAAAAAACATAAAANAAAAAAAAAAAAAACAATAATAATAATAATTATAAATAAATAAAAAAAAATTGGAAAATAAAAAGATTTAAATCTTTTCACACCTTGAAGCAGCACTTTTCAAATTTTTTTTTTCTCCAATGAGTTTGAAAAACAATCCAAAGATTTTAAATTCTAGTTATGTAGTTTATTTTTTTAAAGGTTTACANAAAAAAAAAAATAATAATAATAATAATAATTATAAATAAATAAAAAAAATTGGAAAATAAAAAGATTTAAAACTTTTCACACTTTGAAGCAGCACTTTTCAAATTTTTTTTTCTCCAATGAGTTTGAAAAACAATCCAAAGATTTTAAATTCTAGTTATGTAGTTTATTTTTTTAAAGGTTTACACACAGCCAGAGAGCCACACATTGATCAGTCGTGTGCAGCAGGTTGTACCTCTTACCCTAATTATCTTAAATTACGGCTCACAGTATATTTAAGTTTAAATTTACCTCCAAATGCTGAGCCTTTCCAAACACGTCCTGTTACCAACTGAAATGGCCTGGTGGAAATTTCTTGTCCAGCTCCAGCAACTCCAACAATGATACTTTGTCCCCAGCCTTTATGGCAAGATTCTAAAGCTGCTCTCTAAGATTGAAAAAAAAAATTAACACTGTATTTATTTTTCTAAAAATATGTTATCACCTTATATACAATATGTAGCACTATCACACAAGAGATGCTAAAATACAATAAAACTGATTTCAAACCTATTTTGTTCAAATAATCTTGTTAACTAAAGTAGATATTCTTATTTTCTTTACTTTCCCCCTGCACAAAGTAGCTTAGGCTGTCTAACTAATACTAAGCAAAATTATAAAGTCGGATTGTCACGCATGAGACGCTGGAACTATTTTAGAGTAGTAATTTTACAACAAAAAATCCATGAAAATTCAATATTTTTAGGAGCTAGCTAGTTAGTATATTATGAAATGGAAAGTAGCATGGCAGCTTTTTACTTTATGATAATACATAATCAGAAATATTTTAAATATTATTTTAAAAGAAATAAAGTAGACAAAAATAGAACATTTCGTGAAGAGTTTGATAAGACTTTCAAAATCAATAGATCATTTTTTAATTTTAGCTAAATATTTTTACAAATTGAGTCTTCATGCGCACTGTAGAAACTTAAAAATTTTTGAGTGTAATAAATTTTTCATGACTTTTAAGCATTTTTAATTTGCATTATCGACAAGGAATCAGATATAATCAGAAAATTATTACATACTTTATGCTTTGCTATTCCTTCTTTGTAGCACAACCACAATACAAGACAGAGTTACAATTGCTTGAGCTTATGTCTCATGGTTTGTTCATGCTAATTTACTTTTATCTATTTGAGACATTTTTCATGGGTTCTTTAAATCAAAACATACCCACAGGCAGAACCTAGAGCAGGAATGGCGAACCAATGGCACGCTACACAATATTTTGGGCATGCCAACGATCACAATTGTTATTGTACTATGAATTGTTATTACACAAATGTTATTACACTGTGAAGCATATGTAACAATTAAATTAAGATTCACAAAAAACAAACAAAATTATAAACAATTAAAAATATATTATTATAAACAATAAAAAAATTAACAATTAATGCTAAAAAAAACAATTAATAACCATAAAAAACAAGCTAACAATAAATAACTAGCAAAAAAATCAACAGTCCTGCTTAAACTAATATCTTACCTTATAAAAGTTATTTGTCATTTAATCTGCAATAACAGAAGTCCCACTGATGTTACTTTAGAATTACGCGTATAACTGACACATTGCAAAATGTATTTTCCTTTCAATGTAAATAAAGAGTTTTGAGTTGATAGTATTTAGTATTATTATTTTCCCAATAACCATGAAGTCAAAATTATTTGACGGCACGTCTGTGATTTCATTAAACATTTTTTTTAGAAAAAATGGCATGTTGGTGTATAAAGGTTCTCCACCCCTGACCTAGAGCAAGGTGATGTCATTCTAGTTAATAATTTTTTATTTACATAAATATTCAGGTCTAAAAAATCAAGAAAAAAACGCATTATGGAGACCAGAATTACTTTATCCGTTATTTATCTGCCAGGATTATTTTTAATTTTATTTAACTATGCAAACACAAAGACTGGAATTGTTATACCATTTTGATCCTGCTTGTGTGTAGATATGTAAACATTGTAGAACCATTTAGACTTCAAATAAGAAAATAATTACCATTGTTGAAACATTTCCAATGCATTCAAAGGTATAATCTAGTCCTCCATCAGTCATTTCAATCAATACTTCTTGAATTGGTTTGTCATAATCTTTAGGGTTGATAAATTCAGTGCAGCCAAATTTCTTACCTATAATTTAAGTAGTTTATGCATAAGATTGCAAATATATTAGAAAATATTTGATCATACATCGTCATTTTTTTTCATAAGCGCATATAATTTTTTAATAATAAAAACATACTCCATTTAGAAAGAAGAAGAAGAAAAAAACATTTTAACAAGTTTTAAAAAATAAATGCTTATTTCTTCATAATATATACATTAGGTTAATAAAAACAAAAGTTTACGAACGTAAATGATAAGACACATGCAAAAGTTTACAACCCAAAAAAAAAAAGTATCAGATGACTTTTGTTTACATAGAGCATTAACTGTTAAATCTAGACAAAATTCAGGTAGAAAATAGGAATTCATGAAAGATTAAACAAACTTTAATCAAGATCTTATAAAATGTATGGATTAAAACTAAAAATTATGACAAAATACCTATTTCAAATTTTCCTGGATTTATGTCCACACCTATAACTCTTTTAGCACCACGATCTCTGCATCCCATAGCAATTGCTAAACCAACAGTGCCAAGACCCCATATGGCAACATTAGAATTAGGTTCAACATTAGCTGTATTCAAAGCAGCTCCATAGCCTGTAGGTATGCCACAGCCCAAAAGACACACCTTATCTAAAGGTGCTTTTTTATCAACCTAAGCAAAATAGAAAATTTTTAAAATTTAAATAATAGAGAAAGAATATTTTAGTGTTTTAATTCAGGTACATATAACATATTTAAAAATGTGGCAAGTATTAAAACATGAGTATTTATATGTTAATTTAAAATTAACAAATAATTGTATTTAATTAAAATTTAACAAAACAAGATTTTCCCATGTTTATAAACTGCATCTTTGTATTATTTTACAGTTATAAAATTATATTAATTGGTGGTTTTAAAAGAAAAGTGATAATAGATAACTTTGGAAAAAATTAAAATAGTTTTATAATGATTCATTAAGACATAATCATAATGTTCAGAGGACAAAGTGAAAGATAAAGGTATGAAAAATATCTATTTTAATTATGGTTTTTGAAGGGCTTTTAAACGAGAAAGTCAAGAATGGTAAGATTTGAAAATTCATTGATTTACTTTCATAAATTTCTATTTGATTTCTTTCAGTTTGATATTGCAAGGACATTTGCATATATAAACATCATGCAGATTGAATCAGGCTAATAATTAATTTGTATATGATTTCTTTCAGTTTGATATTGCAAAATGTGCGTATATAAACATCATACAGATTGAATCATGCTAATAGTTAATTTGTATATGATTTCTTTCAGCTTGATATGGCAAAGACATGTGCATATATAAACATCAAGCAGATTAAAGCATGCTAATAATTAATTTGTATTTGATTTCTTTCAGTTTGATATTGCAAAGACATGTGCGTATATAAACATCATACAGATTGAATCATTCTAATAGTTAATTTGTATTTGATTTCTTTCAGTTTGCTATGGCAAAGACATGTGCATATATAAACATCATGCAGATTGAATCATGCTAATAGTTAATTTGTATTTGATTTCTTTCAGTTTGATATTGCAATGACATGTGCGTATATAAACATCATACAGATTGAATCATGCTAATAGTTAATTTGTATTTGATTTCTTTCAGTTTGATATTGCAAGGATATGTACATAGACCAACACCATGCAGATTATATCAGACTAATAATTAGTTTGTGACACTGGTGGCTGAGTGGTAGTGCTTCGCCCTCCTATGCCACAGGTCCTGGGTTCGATCCTCGGGCCGGGCAAGGTTGACTCAGCCTTTCATCCCTTCAGTGGGTTGATAAATGAGTACCAAGCATGCTTGGGAACTAAACACTGGGGGTTCCGCGTTCGGCTGACCACCTAACCGGAACATCTGCTCTTGCACCCCAGAACCCAAGGGCAAGAAAACTGAGATGGGCACAGTAGGCCTTGGCCCTCTATGGGCTGTCGTGCCACTGAGTTAATTTTTTTTAATAAATAGTTTGTATTTGATGAGTTAACAGGCTGTTTACAATAACAAATTTAAAGATATACATAGATGTTTTCTGATATAAAAATAAAAAATTTAAAAACAGAAGAGGTTTTAACCATTTTATGATGCATAAATTTTCTTTTAAATTCAAAGCACTAATAAACTAATGGTAAAATCTACAGAACCTAATCTATTTAAATAGAAGTGATGGCTAGAGAAATAAAGAGTATAATTACTGGATAAAATTTTTATAGGCTATTATTGATAATATGTCTTAGAGCTGAGCTGACAATTGCTAAAGGATGGTGTTATTTTCTCTGAGAATTACAACATTTCCAGAAGTGACAACTGTGTGTCACTTCTCAGATCAATCTTAATGATCTGAGACAGTGACCTCAAATATGCTGGTAAATTAGTACAGATGATATTTTAAGTTACAAAGTCAGACACAAAAAAGTACTTTCTCTGAATAAACATAATTTATTTTCAATAGATTATGGTTTCTAACCCCCAAAATATAAGGGGTAGTTGTTATCAGAAAAATATAGACCTAATAGTTTGATCAAGAGAGTTTTTCAAAGTTTGGATCACAGTGTTTTCATCTCAGAAAAAAAATGGGTGAGAATTTCTCACCCTTTCTCAAAAACAGGGTGAGATTTCAGAAAGTTAAGTGAGATTTCTAAAAAAAAAAAACACAAAGAGACTTGAAAAAAAAATCATTTCTTTAATTATAATGCATTTTTAACATCTTCTAATTTTTAAAGCATTGAATATTTTTGCTGCATCATCATATGGAAAATGTTCTACATCTACTTTTTCATCAGCTATTCTCATTAGGTTGCTCAAATGCGTATTTGTTTCGTTTTGATCGTTTCTACCCACATTTGTTTCATTTTCATTTGTCCGTTTCGGAGTAGAAGATATTGGCTTTACAAGGTATTTGTCCATCTTACATTAACGAGCAAAAAATTTGAACGTCTTACATGAAGAAACCTTACCTACGGTAAACACGTGGTTGCAGAGAAATGCGTTCTGAAAGAGGTTCCGTGGTTCGGAAGGATGGTGTTCTGTTGTTCTTAAAGGTTCTGAACAATACTGGTAAATAGGGAAGCTAGATAATGGGGCAGATGTTGAAAATAATAAAAGATCCAGGAAGAAAAGTGAAACGGATTTTATTCTAAATGGCGCAAATGAGAAATTTTTTTCAAAATGCGAGAAATTCGCGAATTTTGAAATTGGTTTATAGAATGCGCGAATTTCTCGCGGTAATCATTTTTTAATGCGAGAATCTAAAAAAATATGCGAGATTCTCGCGTTCTCGCTCTGTTGTGAAAACACTGGATCATTTAATGCTAATTTTACTTCTGGTCTAGTTTGCCATATCTTGAGAATCTGTAAGCATATTGAAAAATTTTTTGTGCACAATTTTAAAATTTGTTTATTGAAAGATTATTCCACACAAAAATTTATTTTTAATTATTTATTGTATTTTATAAAATAATAGTCTAAAAATTTTGAATTATGAAGTATACACATTTTTGCATAATTTAAAGAAGGCAGTTTTATAAAGCAAAGTACAAAATTTCCATCTAATAGAAAAAATAGTTGCTGAGAAGACAATTTTGAAAAAAGACATTAGTATATTTAACAAATTTGATTTCTCAGGAGTAATTTTTTTTTTTTTTTGCAGACTGTACTTAAAAAAATCATCATTATTATTAAAAGCATACAATTTTTAAAAATTTATTTCAAAATGCATTTTATTCTACTCTTTTCAGTAACATATTTAAAAAAATAAAACTTCATAATATGAAATAAAATTTATGGTTTTTATCGGTTTTGCTATGAAGTTTGAAAAAAATCAATAGTTATTGTATTAAAAAAAACTTACTTTTGCAAGAGAAATTTCAGCTACAACAGTGTACTCAGCGAATGTACTTGTACCCATAAAATGATAGACAGGTTGTCCTTTGCAAGTGAATCGACTAGTACCGTCGGGCATAACACCTTTCCCTTGAGTAACCCTGTGAAAATGGTATTCAACTTCGTTAATGGTTAAAAAAAATTATATAGAAAAAAGGCAATGGATTTTCAAATATATATTCACAGAACAATAACAAGACATAATTAAAAAAAAAAGCAGATTTATTTCACATGTACACACATAATAGTGGCACAGCCAGAAGGGTGTTCGGGGGGTTAAAATCCTTCTCAGAAATGATCCTCAAGAACTAAATAAGGTTCCTATCAATCATAAAAAAGATTTTAGCAATAAAAAGCTATTCCAAGATACTAAAAGAAATAACAATAATTCAAAACACAGAATAATAACAGACATAATTTCTCTTCTCTCAGCATTTATTTTTTTTCCTTCTAAAAATCTGCAAATGTTTCCAGCATTTATTTGGTCAAGCTTGATCAACCATCTGGAAGTGAATTTCACCAATTATGAAAAGTATGATGGTTTTCCAATTATCCAAACAAGTATAAAAAGCTTTGAAAAATTTAAAAACTGCTGAAAAATGCCAGAAATTAAAACAGTTAAATTAATTATGCATACTTTAAGATGAAAATTAAAGCACAAATTTTAATGGAAAAAATATTAGATGTGTTCAAAAGATTTTTTAGCAAATTTGAAAATATTATACAAAATAACATCTCATTTATTAATTTATTGATAATATTTAATAATTATGGTGAAAAGTGAATTATTATTTCAAATTTTTCTTACTTAAGTTGTTGTATTTTGTAAATTAATGAATATTAAAACTATGAATTTCAAAACCCCACCGCAAAAGTGTTTCTTGGCTGCACCACAGGCGCATATATATATATACACACTGAGTGGCCAAATTATTATGACCACCCCCTCAATGCACTGTTGGACCACCTTTAGCCCACAATACTGCAAGAATTCTTCTTATCATATGTTCTATGAGATGTTGGTAGATGGTTGGAAGAATCTGACCTCATATCCAATGAACTGCACTTTTCAGTTCCGTCAGATTGGATGACACTGGATTCTGCTGTCTGATGCACCGCTCGATTTCCTCCCACAAATTCTCAATCGGAGTGAGATCTGGTGATTGCGCAAGCCAACGAAGCAAGGTAAAGTCAATATCATGTTCTTCGAACCATGTGACTTCAATACCAGCTGTCTGACAAGGAGCATTGTCTTGCATAGAGTATCCATCCCCGGCAGGGTACACCATTAACATAACAATACTTAAATACCCTTGGGCATTCAGAGGTTGTTCTCCAGGAATCAAAGGAACCATGCAATTTCAAGAAAACCACCGCCAAATCATAACCTTGTCTCCACCAGCTTGATGTGTTGCGGCAATGCAGTTGGGGTCCATGCTTTCATGTTTTTTTCGCCATATCTGAACCCTCCATCTGCATGATGTAACTGAAAACTCGATTCATCAGACCACATGACTCTTTTCCAGTTATTCACAGCCTGATCTTTATGTTTCTTAGCAAACTGGAGACGTCTGCTCTTGTTTAAGGCTGACAGTAGAAGCTTTTGAACATTTCGTCAGCTCCCATAGCCCACACAGTGTTATGTACGATACACAGCTCATTCAGAGAAGTTCGCAGTTGCAACTTCATTAAAATTCTCCGCTATTTGGCATACTGTTGTTCTTCTGCTGGACTGGACAACTCGGGTATGTCCCCATTCAGCCTGTGATGACCACAAGTCTGACATTGAGACCCGGTTTTCTGCTTGGCAGTTCACTCTCCATACACATTAATAACTGCTACTCTCAAACACTTTACAAGAGTCGTCGTTTTGCTGATACCGGTTCTGACGCTTAGAGTGTCTACAATCATCTCAGTGTGTACAAACTCAGTTAAATTGCGTTTTTTGCCCATATCTTTGCATGTAACCTAGTGCAATTGAAAGTTCACTTGCCTTGCATTTCCTTTTTGTAGCTATCTTGCCCTCTAGCGGCAACACTGTGACACAATAGCTCATTTTGCATAAAACTGATAGGTAGTCATAATAATTTGACCACTCAGTGCATACATATACATAAATAAATAAATACATATATACACATTAACAAACACACACACATATATACATACATGGGAACATTACTTTTAAAAAGTACAGAGGGAAGATTAAAATGTTTCGCTTTTAAAATGTAACCAGTAAGAAGTACAAGTATAAAACAAAAAAAAAGTTAAGATTTTAAAGTACATTTGAAGGAAATCTAAAATTCAAAACAACCTTAAATTTTATTTAAAAAAAATGCAAAATTTTTTTTTAATAAATAATTTTTTTACATACATTTTTTAATTTAAAATGCATCAAATTTTATTTGAAATATAAAAAACTTTAAGATGCATAAAATGTTACAAAATTCAATGAAATAGTGAATGTTGAAAATATCCAGAAATAAAACCAGAAATTACAATTCGATGCTTGCATATAAAAAAGAGTTATAACTTATATTAATTTTAAATCTATCAAATCTTCAGAATTTTTTTCTTCACAACTTTAAGTAATTTGTTGAGCAAATTTGATAAACATTATGATTTTTGTTTAAAGAAACGAGTAAAAAACAAAAATTGTATTCCTCTTCAAGTAATCCTTTGATATCCATTAAGTTAAAAATTATATTTCGTTTTTATAAAAGTTTAAAAATAATTTCAGAATTTAAAATAATGATTTTAAAATTTGAGATATAGATATTCCATAATAAATCCACTCATAAACAAAAATTAATCACAAAAGTTATATTTTAAATTCATTCACATGATGAACTAAATGTTTAAATGGTAAAATTCAAAAAAGAAGAAATTATTATTATTCAAAATCAAAAATAAAACTCTAAAATTTGTTGGTAATGCTTACTATATTTTAATTAAATGAAGCATAATTTTAAAACTGAAATGCCCCCCAAAAATTTTTTTTGGTTTCATAGCATCAAATACATTACTGAAATTAAAAAAATACACATATGTTTGACAAAAACATGGCTTGTCAAATTTATATAAATGGATTAAGGTCTTCTTCGATTTCAAAACAATTGAATTTTGTAATATTACATATTTTTTTAAAAAAAAGATTAAATTTGCACCATTCTTCTTTTCAAACCCTAACTAAACTATATAACATAAACAAGAAACCTCAACTCATGCTTATGGGTTGGTCAGCGGCTTCATACGCAAAAAAGTTATACATATTACATTAGACTTAGTTTACAGTGTTTAAATGCAAATTTTATTTTATTCTCAAACTTTTATTTAGAAACTTTAGAGCTGAATGATTATTTTTTAACCCCACAGGTATTCACATCTTATATTAGTACAATATTTTATTCAATTACTTTTGCAAAAATGCCATTCAGTGCTCAAAAGGGTCACCCTTTCCCTTTCAAGAAGTTGCAATCCTTGAAGGTGCTTGTAAAAAAAAGTAAGTCGTTAAGGAATATAGAATGAATCAAATTTATAAATTAACAAAAAATATGTAAAATTTTTTTTAAAAAAAAATTTCAGAAAAAGTAATGATTTTTTTCTCAACACTTTCATTACAAATACTTGTACTACAAGTAATTTTTACTTTTATTACAAGCAATGAAAGTAAAAGTATTGCTATACATGTAGGTATATATATATTAAAATTCACAGTTGTAATATTAATAAGTTTTCAAAATACAATAATTTAAGTAAAAAAATTTAAAATGATAAATTACTTTTAGTGATAATTATTGAATATTATCATTTAGACTTAACAAAAAAAGCATCAGACTTCACTAAAAGAGCAAAAAGCACTTTTCCTGATAGGTAAGATTATTGAGAAAATAAGAAACAAAATACCTGATTTTCGAACAAAGATTTGTTTTTGAGCTTTTACAGAACTTGCACTCATTACACTGTGGTATGTATAATGGTATTACATGATCACCTATTGACAATTACAATATTGATTCAAACAAAATGTATAATAATGTACAAAATAAAACTACATAATAAATGAATAAGTGATAGAAAATTAAATCAACAGGCACTATAGTCAAATTTAAAAACATTAAGTCAAGAAAAATGTTTTTGCTTTGCATCAGTATATTTATAAAAACATGTGGACTGACCTTATTTTATACATTGTTGAAGATAAAATAAATATTAGACTTTAAAAGTATAAGTAAAATCGTGTTTAAATTAATTAATTTGTATTTATTTTACATAAATTTTCAAATAACTACAACAATCAAATTAAGAAAAAGTTTGCTAAGATAAGCAAATACATTAGTTAAATAAATTAAGTTCATAATTATTATAAAGAATTTAAACTAACAAAACTTTTTGGAAATGTAAATAAAATAGAAGAAGTACCAGGTTGCACTGATGTTACACCATCGCCAATGCTTTCAACTATTCCACCACCTTCATGACCAAGAATACAAGGGAAGAGGCCTTCAGGATCAAGACCATCTAATGTATAAGCATCAGTATGACAAACTCCAGTGGATAAAACCTAAAGACGTAAAAAAAAAAGAATGAAATAAGTATAATTAATATTTTGACAATAAATGCCTGTTTCAGGCTTATAAAAAAAGAATTTAGTTATAATAGCATAAAAAATAATATTGATGAACATATAAATCAGTCATTAGATGATTGTCATTTTAAAAGGTTTTGTGTAAATAAAAGAAGTGTAATTAAAAAAGAAAATTGTAGGAAACTTAGTAAAAATGGATTTATATTAAAATGCAATTCTAATATAAATGTAAGTTATTGTGGACATTAGTTAAATTATTATTACTATTATAAAAATATTATTACTAAAATATAATGACTATTGTTTAAATATTTTTATTCCAACAGGTAAAAAATCAACAATTCAAGTTATTACATTGTTGATATTAGCTAATAAAGAAAAGGAAAAGCAAAACTTTTTTATGGGACTGCAAGACTTGGTCTACAAAAATGTTTGAGAAAAACATTAGTTATCAAATTAATTTCAAACCTATATTCTTTTGGAGTTATAAAAAGCAAGAATGCATAAAAGATTGTGATCTTAATGATCATGAAAAATTATATCTTTTTAAAATAGTGATAGATCTCTATTCACAAATTCTTAATGCAAAACATTTAACTAGCTTGATTTTTATTATTATATATTTATCATTTTACGTTAAACAATTATCAGTAATTAACTTTCCCATTTCTGACATTAAAACTGTTGAGTTCTTTTTCGTTAGTTATGTGGCGAATCTTATATTATCATAATGATCAACATAAATATAAAAACGGACATTTATTAAAAAAAACAAGATGGCACTATACTGAAATAAATGATCTAAACAAATGAACATTTTGTAGAATTACCAAAAGTGCATAATATTTGCAGCAGGGTTGGGGTTTTGGACGTCCTAAACTGGTTTTGGACAGGACACGTGGGTTTTACTGTCTTAAACTGGATAAAACTGTCCAAAACCTTGAGCTTTGGTAAAAGGTGTAACCATTGTATTCATAATAATTACATGTTAACTTAATTTATTAATAAAACTTATTAAAAGAAAATAATATAATATAATAGGAAAAGGTTTATAATTTTTGAAGCACCACAATTCATTGAACAACAAAAGTGAATACCTAATCCTTTAAATATAAATATGCTTTTATTACTGATAAATAATATTTTTGCATAAGGGTAAATATCGCAATATTAAAAAATAATAATTTTTCTTAAAAAAAAAAAAATACTAAATTTATTTAAAAATTAACCTTTTATTTTTCACAATAATTTTTTTTAAAAATGTTAACTTCTGCATTACAGGATGATATAAAAGATATCTATTTAAAAAAAAATTGTTTTAAATATAAATATATTAGTTTAAATTGAAAATACAAAATAGCTGAAAAATGTATTAACAGTTTTGACGGGTATAACATCAGTTTCAGTTACTGACACTGGTGATGTAACATCACTATGCTAAAAGAATTTAACAAGAATGAAATAAAAGTATTCTCGAATAGTACTATAGATAAATAAACCTGTTTTTGACGAACCAAGCACTTAGTCCCTAATATTTTAACCTGTATGGCAAGGCCAAACTTCAATTATGTACTATTGAATGAGAGGACCAATTGAACTTGATTACTGATTAATCTTCCTTTGTTTAAATTGAAGAGTCAAACAATATTAATAAAACATTATACTTTTAAAAACAAATA